CCCCCCCCCCCCCCCCCCCCCAAGCAAGAGAGGAAGGCGGAAACGCACGCCGTCTCCTGCCGTTGACTCAGCTGTAATTGGGATTAGCATTAGCATATGTGCCTCAGCCTCGGAGCAGAGCTGCGAGGCTTCCAGCCTGGGAGACGTCCTCTATCGCAGGGCTGCATCTGTCTGCTAGAATTAGCCTGCCCCTGCCAGGCTATTGTTGTAAATGTGTCTTTCACCTGGCAGCTGTCTGCAGGCACGGGGCCCCCATCTGTCACCTGGACCGCTGTTGAATTCACCTCTAAAAGCGGCGTCCATTATTCACTGGAGATGGGCCGATTGGCAGGCTGTATGGCAGTCGGGCAGAAATCACTGGAAGCTGACTCTGCCCTGTGTGACCTTTTATTGGCCAGCACAGCAGCAGTTGAAATAATAGGGACTAAAGTGGATATTGATCTGGACAACCAGGAGTACTCTTGATCTTTATTTAGGTGGCGGGAGAGAAGAGGAGATATGGCTGCTGATTAGGTTAGCCGTAACCTCACTGATTGTTTTTGTGTATCCTGAAGACATAGAGCAGAGGTCAAGCATTTTGTGTGTGTGTGCACAAGTCTGCACATCTGTGCATACATGTGACCTCCTGTTCTACTTGACCCTTGGACTCTCTTACTGTAAGAAGGGATTTCTTTTCAGCAAGTAGGTAGCCCCATTAGATTGTAAAGGCCTTTAGAGTTGCATTACTACAACTTCCATCAACGCCAGAGGGAAAGACTCCTTTCGCTTCCCTTCCTCCCCTAAAAAAAAGAAATGCTGCAGTTTGGGCCACAATACAGCATCCAGTGTTGCAGAGAGACGCCGCAGTAGGTGGAAGCTTTGTCAATACAGGTCTCCTAGTCACTGTGTCAACCTGCTGTCCAGTGTTCAGACATATTGACAAAAAAAGATGCAATGGAAGAAGGAAAAGGCAAGTGTTGGTTATCAGCATGTGGTTAACACCGTGAAATTGCTATTCACTTGGAGACGCAGCTATTGGCTGGTAAATATTGCTTTTTGTAGTCCGTTTGGTCATAGATCAAGAGACCAAGTATGAAAAATGCGCCAAAATGTACTCAAACATGACATCATGAAGTTAAACGCACATAACAAAGCTGATTGGCTCACTGTAATGTGTGTGTGTGTGTTTGTGTCGGGGGTTCCAGTTCTCTGGAAATTGTAAAAACTGAGTTTTGTGCAGCATTCAGGCGTCGCTGACTGTGATGTGTAGGGGGAATATACTTGGTGCCAAAGCCCTCTAAATATTCAAATTGCTCACATACGCTTTGTGCCGATAATAAACCAACTTTCCTTCTCATTATGCCACCAAGCCATGAGCAAAACATAACAGCAAAACGCATTTGTATGCTCGTGTGGCTTCCCCATCAGGCACAGATTAGCTGTCGGAAAATAATTTCCTCTTTGCAATCAAGCGTGCAGATTGTCAACAAGATGATGTTGAGTAATTGCGTTGCAACATCAGTGCTGCTTATTTTCTGGTGGCGAGAAGCTGGGGTTCAGTATTTCAAAAACTATCTGAGGAAAACCAGAAGTGGAAGGAAAGAGAGTGCAAATGTTTTAGGCCAGACTGCTGACGGCTTTGTTTACACGAAACTAAGATGTATTACAGTTTGTCTTTTCCTATTTAAAGAGACACGCTGCACTGTTACTTTTAACTTAATAACTCATCCTGCTTTCCTTTTTGTTCTTGCTTCTCTCCGTCTCCAGACGTGACATTTGCTGCCAAAGGATACTTTGATGCTCTAGTCAGAATGGGTGAACTGGCTAGTGAAAGTCAAGGATCCAAAGATTTAGGTAAGTGACTGACATTCAACTGATGACCAGCTTTCTCTCTCTCTTTCTTTCTTATTGTTGGAGCAACAAAAACATCGTCTCATACAGACTCTCATGATTTGCGTTTAGAGAGACGCGTGTGTGGGTCGATACAAGAGGTTGTTTACTTGATCTTTTTAGTCCTAAAGCAGATTCGATTTTGTTCTCGGGGAAACAAAGTGTAACCAGGAGCGAGCTGGTAGCTGAACACCATTTATTCACAACACGATAGTTGAGATTGTTTTGGGAAAAAGCCTTTTTATATTTCTGGTTAGCAGTTTGTATTGATTCTGTGTGAAAAAATTGTATCCGTAAATCCCATGTTGGACGTCTTGCACCTTATGTGATGTGTGTCATGTCGATTAGGTGTGTGTGTGTGTGTGTGTGTGTGTTCTAGTTAGAAACATAGTGGTCAGTTGGCAACCAACACCTGGTCCTCTCATACTGAATTGTTTCCTTGGTGATCGGTGTCTCTGAGCGAGTCTGTGTTTGCCGTCACCGTCCCGTGGGAAATCAGCTCCTGTTTGTAGAGATTCCCTTTGCACTGATTGGGCTTTTGACTGCTTGATCTGCGTGTAAATAGCTGTTGATTTGACGGGGCCTTTGTTGCAGTGGAGCTGAGATCTAGTTTGGGTTTCCTTCAGCCCAGCCAACAGGGACCGACATGAAAGTGCTCTCAGGATGTTTTATTCAGCAAGCGTCCCTCTATCTCTCTATCTCTGCAAGGTTTTCCATTGATACAGCAGCAGTATCTCCGTGTGGTACTGAGCCTCGCTTACAGTAGCGCGTTCTTCCAAGCCAGGCATCCTCAGCTGAACTTGTCGAAATAGAGAACAACATGTACGTGATCTGACTGACGGCTGATCTAATCTCTTCTTGCGCCGAACAACACTGTGGCTCTAACAGCAAGGGGTTATTTAATAGAATAGGTTGGGTCAGAAACTATTAAATGTGTGTTGACACTGGTCGACCCTCCTTCGTTCTTTCACATATTGCTATGGTAATTTTGGAAATTGCGCATATGTGCGAGTGTGTATGGTAATGTATCAAATTGCTCACCTCTTTTGTCACAAGTTTGTGTGAGGGAACTATAAACTGATCCAATTTCAAAAGCCCTGCCTGGAGGAGGATCTGCAATGGACTGGATATTTGAAATGACTCGTCCTCTCCGTGTTTACATTTGTCTGTTCATCGACTGAATCGCTCTGTGCAGTTGTACGGTTGTGGTGTAGCTAAGATATTAGCCCCCTGCTGTTCACCGTCAATTTCCAGTACGATGCGCCAGCTACACCCAACTCCCTACTGCATGCCATTGTGGTTCCCCGGAGAAGAATCGTTGTTTTATTTTCCAGCCACCTGCTCTCGAGTCCCCGCCCTGAGGTCGCCACCGGTGCCTTGACCTCCTGTCAGACTGCGTGCAGGGATGAGTCCCAAAGCTCAGAGTTTCCTGTTAGACCGGGGGTAGAGCACAGAAATAGCCACAGATTGGAGGAAAAGAGAACGCTGGAGGTTAGCCAAACAAAGCACAGCTTATGTGCTATGTTTTCAACCAATATCTCACATCTGTAATATTTGCCTTGTCAGATATCGATCTTAATTCAATAAAAAAATTATCTTTTTAAAGGACTCTATTGAATTTAATACCAGCACTGCAGAGTGCTTTTATTTGTTCTATTCCCCACTGTAACGTTGTCTTTATTACTTCAAAAAATAACACCAAGGGGATATTAAGGCTTGGAGAGAAGTATATCTTTGGTCTTAAGCGTGATAATTGTTGCTTGCTTGGTTTATTTCAACTACACTCAAGCGCCGTCTTCAAGATTTGAAATTGTTGCCCCCAACTGATAGAGACGGACACGAGTGTGAATTCAGGCTTCAAACAGGACATCAATGATTTTCCACATTCAGATCGGCCACATAATCAGTTGGTGTCATGTTAACGTTGTGTGTTTGAAGAATTATCGAGTTGATTGGCCGATTGTTCCAAAATATATATGACATATTAAATATCTGCTTTTTTCTACAGCCTGTTTCTATTTACGCATGCTCGTATGATTGAGTTTGAGCTCTTGTTGCACTTGTTTAAAGCCAGTTAATTCCACGGAGGCTCAGTAAGAGACGGCCTGCAAATGGTCCCACCTACACACCTAAGAGCCGGCAGCTGCTCTCCATCTCTTCCTCCCTCCTTCTGGTTTTTCTTCTTCCGTTCTTTCGCACACATACGCATTAAAAGTATGCTTTAAGCAGGGAATTGAATTACCTCGTGAAATAATGCCCGCTATTGCTGTTGTTTTTTTATCGACAAATTAACATGCACTCTACTCTGGCTTGAGCCTTAGTTCATTCCTTTAGAACACAGTATGATCCCACAGGAATCCACCGTTGTGTATATGCACTGTATGTGCATGCATGCTTACATGGTTGTATGCATGTTTTGTGCATATATCATTTGTCATTTCTATGTGGTTATACAGCATTGAGTGCTCTTTTAATCCACTTGTGTATATCTCTGCCTAAAGAGACAGTCAGCCTTTCTCTCTCTCTCTTTCTCTCTCTCGCTCGCTCGTGCGCGCGCCAGCCCCAGTACTCCCACACACTCCCTCCCACATATCCTCCTCTGGTTGGGCTAATCATCGCCTGTCACTTTGCCACACACATTCATGCACACGCTAACGCACACACCTGCCCTCCCTCCCTCTTTCCCTTCTCTCCCTCTGTTTCTGCTATCCTCCTCCTCCTTTATCCCTCTTCGTGAGGAAGGAGTAAGCACTTATTACTTCAGTGACATCTGTGGCTTTCCTACCCTTCTTGGGAAATGCAGGAAATGTAGAGTTTGTGGGGCTGAAAATATTTACGACAATCTTCTCCGACCAGCTTGGCTCCACTGTGTTTATATTCCTGAACTAAGAGGCTTGTTATTTTCCACCCCACCCAGAGCGGAATAGTCCTGAAATTCCTAGTATTTTGATTGGTCATCATTCCTAGAGCTCCTTTATCTTTGTTGAAACTGCCAGAAATCACCTTTGACCTTTTTACAAAAAAGCTATATCAAATGGCTCAGTCAGTTGAATCAGCTAGGAAGTGTATGTACATTGTAGAGATTACTTCTTCTGCAAACTCGGAAGTCTTATCTTTCACCACATTTTCCTACTTACGGTTTTCAATCCGAAGTTCTTCTTCAGATTACTTCTCACATGGTTTGGTTGCACGATCATGCGTTTAGCACATCTCTCTTGTTTACTCAGTTTGTGTTAGCGAATAGATTACAAACGAGTCTAGTTAATCCAACCCATTGCGTGCCATGTTGCCCTATCAGTTGACTGTACGTTTTCAGGAACACCACCCACTGGAGTACAAGGCACGGCCTGTTGCTTACTGTGACATTTTAAAGGGGACATATCATGGAAAACTCCCTTTTTCAGTGCTTGTGCACATACATTTGGGTATCTGGAGTGCCTACCAACCCAAAAACTGTGAAATAAGAAAACCCAGTCAGTTTTTTTTTTTTTTTTTATGGGCTGCCTAGATCAGAAAACGTGAGTGAACAAGCCATTCAGATTTTGTCCCGTCACATGCAGGCTCATTAGAATATACCACCCAAGGCAAACTACCTTTGTAAAGGAGCGATATATTTTTCTCACGAGCCAGTCAGAGCATACTGGGCTTTTTCAGGAGGGGGGCTTAAAGAGACAGCAGCTGAAAGGGAGCGTTTAGGACAGAAGGGAGAATACATGTATACAGACATTATGAGACATATGTGTTTTTTGAAAATGAAAGCATGGTACACATGTTCTAGTAGAAACCCAAAATACAAATCTGAACCTAAAAAAATAGTATAGTATATCCCCTTTAATTAGAACAGATGATTATAGATTTTGAATGTTTGGATTTTGAAAAGTGACGGCTGTACATCATTGCTGTTCGAGCTCACAGACATAAATACTGTTTGCTAAAAAGAAACGAGTCACTTTATTAAACCAATTTCTATGTGTGTTTTACATTTACTGCACTGACAGAATGGTAAAGAGGTTATGTACCATATTCTAAAGGAAATAGGTTTCTGTTTACCACTCGCTGGTATGGTCAGCCTGTTCTTTTAGCGTCCTCGGATGAAGTAAAGTTTGAGATCTGCTCTGTACCTGGCTGGGTGGGTTCCACTATGTTGCTCTTTCACTGTTGGGCATTATGTAAAAGTCAGACTACAAACTACTAATTCTAGTAAATGTACGTATTTCATTTTTGCTATGGCTTTCCTTCATCCTATCCTCTGGTTAACAATTAAAGTAAACGCTCTCTTGGGCCTTTTGGCTGATTAGTCTGTTTTCAAGAACCTGGAAAGGAATGTGAAGTGCTTACAGTTCAGCCTCCCAGCCAGAGGAAATCAAATATCTTTCTCCCCTCTTATCAGCTGCTATAGCCTTGCTAATTGCCATGTTTTAATAACACACATGTATGATTCAGCACAAAGACATGTCTTTTGGGAAATTGCCAGCGTTAGAGAATGAAATGGGGTCACATTGTAGTCAACCAATGGATTGCTTAGGTAGGTTGATGCTGGTGAGAGGGCCCACAAAAAAAAAACACCCACCTCATAGCCTTCCCAGTAATAATTACCGGAGGAAAAAAAAGGTTCACACAGGGAAAATGAGGCTGCAAACTGAGTATATTAACGGATCTGGGACAAATGCTTTACATTTCTGCTGAGAAATGGGAGACATCTAAAAGGCTAAATGATATGTCGTTAAGGGCAGAGGTTAGGTTAACAGTGGCGGGTAAAGCGTTAACTCTGACATGCTGAATTTGAATAAGCACCCACGAGTACACATACTGTATACACGCAGCTCTCTCTCTCTCTCTGTCTCTCTGTCTTCAGTATGGCCTCTCTCCTCCTCCAGCACCTGTCCCTGTTTAAATGAGAGCAGAGGAGCTCTTTTCTTAGCTCTGTCCCAACATCCCAGGGGTCCCTGCCTTCTCCTGCTCTA